GCTGCGACCTCAAAGCGGACTAGTCCGCACGCCCGGGGGTACTAAAAGCGGACTAGTCCGGTGCACGACGGATCGAACGCGGACTGGTCCACAGGGGTGCGGACTCTTTCCGGACCGAAAACGGACTGATGCCGGACTAAACTTTTTCGTACGGGAGAGAGGGGGGGGGGGAGTGCGTACGCGTAAGTGGGAGAGGGATGAGGAGCGCTCATTGAGTTAGGTTGGTGATTGTGTTAGGGCGTGCAGGCGCTTGTCGACTTGTGCATGTCGGCCTCTTCGGGGGGCGTGCCTGTGATATTCCCCTCGCTCGCTCGGTATTATTTGTTTCTCTCTTCCCTTTTTTTCTGTTCTTTTTCTCTCTCTCTCTCTCTTCGATTTCGATTTTCCCCGACCGAGAAAGAAGACAGCGGGGGGAGCCATCCGCAAATAACCATGTTTCGCGCAGATCTGCGCGCCCAAACAAACCGTGGCGCCCACCGCCGCCCTGTCTTCCCGGAAGTAGCGTCCTCGTCGGCCGCGCCTCTCTTTTTCGTTCCCCCCCCCCCCCTCGCTCTCTCGTGCTCGTGCCGCATCCCACTTCTTTATCTTCCGCCCCTCTCCCTCTCCACCCGCCCGGCACAAACTCGACGAGTGGTTGGGCACTCGGGGCGGATAGGCTGGATCAAGCTAATTGCTGGTAAATCCATTTGATCCACATCCACCTGTGCGTTGTTGAGGGTATGGAGTGACGTAGCGTGGGCGGCGCAAATCCCGACCGCCGTTGGGTCCTCTTTTTCATTCTTGTTTATTACGCACATTTATCTGTTTTCCATGCCCCGGTAATTTTCTTTCATACTAAGCTTTTTTAATCCTGTGACGTAAAGAAAGGATAAGTGCACCCCGCGGGAGTGATGGAGATCGCAATGAGAGGGGAGTGGTGGTGTCGGCTGTACTTACATTCGTCATTTCGTTTTGGACTGCCTCGTCTTTTTTTCTTATTTTCCGCTTTGCGCCTAATTTCCTGTTCATCGAACTGACTGCGGCTCGGCGTCCTTCAGGGGGCGGCGGGGCGGGGTTGAAAGGTGCGGGGTGGGTGGAGATTGGATGCTGCGGGGTTATCAGCATTAAAACCCTCCCCCCTAATGATAATCGGACCGGAGGAGGATCCTGATTATGGAACTCCTTTGAAAACTCTCCGTCCGTCTGCCGCCCCCTTTTCATCCCGGCTGGCGCGCATACACCCGCGACCACCAGCACAACCACCACCACCAACTCGACCACGATCAGAACCACCACCATTACGACCGCACAACTACGACCACAAACAACACTACGACCACGATCACCCTTACAACCACGACCACCACTACTACGACCTCTACTATTATGATCACCACCACCACGACCTCCACAACCACCACGACGACTACGACGACCACGTCGTACACTACCTTTCGGGTGCAGAGCGCGGGCAACGCCGCCGGTTACCGACGTCGAGTTTGTTTGAGTAAGATGAGTGCATTCCTAGTACCTCTCATCCCATTTCCTATGGGTTTTATTCTTCCCTCATTTTCTTTTGTTTCTTTGTTATCGGTCGCCGTTCTACCTCTGTATTATTCCCCGCTCGCGGGACACGGCGGCGCAGTGCTATGAACCGCGGCGAGAGCATCACGATCTGACGCTGCTGAGCACCAAGAGAGAGAGAGGCACTACCACCGCCTCGCCCTGGCTTTGCCTTGTCAGGGCACTACTGTTCTTGTTGGAGTCGGCCGCCATTTGTAAGCCGACGTCCGACTGTGACCTCTTTGGGGTCTTCCCCGCCGCCGGCGCAGCTGCCAATGCAATCTACCGCCTCCAGTTAGTTACGCGGCCGTGAGGTGGAGGGTAAGGGTTCGAGGGTCTCCGATACGTCTCCTACACGCCGCCCGCGGGATGCCACTGCTAGCCCGCTTCGCTCCGCGAGTTTTTATTCAAACACTCCAACTACTTGTCTTTCTCCGGCCGGTATCGGTGTTTCGCCCGGGCTCCTCCAAGGCCCCCGTGCCCTTGCCGCGCGCGCTGCCGCCGTCCTCGCCGCGTCCTATTACTTTACTCGACATGCCCCCCCCCCTCTCTCTCCGCCCAACTCACTCCATTGCATTATCTGGATTAAACACAACCGCTGCTGCTGCCGCTGCCGCTGCAGACACACAAACACACTCACACGGCACTCCGCGGTGGCCCGCCTCGCCAAAGCCCTTGCTCCGGCTGATTAAGGCCGTTAAGGTCGGGAATCGTTCACAGTAAACCTTTGAATTGTGGTTTTTGTTTGACTTCACATATACAAGTGTGTTTTCGATCAAGATTATCAACTTCTAGTTCCATTACACAAATAAATAAAACTGTGGAAACCGCATTTGGTAAAATAGTAAGCAGCTTCTATCCGCCAGGGCCAAAGAGCTCAATCGTTTAGGAGGCCATGAGAAAATATACCACCACCTCCCCATCGTCATAAAAATGCCACGCTTGATTCCTATCCCTATCTCGGTCCGTCTCGACGCAGAGTATTGCCCGGCGGGGGTAGCGCGGGTCCGGTGGGTTGACGGCGCACGTCCTCGCGAAGCAGTCCGGCCGCACGCAGCCCCCTCCCCTCTCCCCCCGGGGGGGACCCCGCGGGGCCGCCGCCGCCGCTCATCCCCTGTTTTACTGCGGCCTCTTTTATTGGTCCGACCTGGCCTGGTCCGCCTCCCCCGCTCGCCATAGGGGCCGTGCTGCACTGCCACTCTTGAACGCTGCCGCTAGCCGGCCGTCTACCCCCCCGCTGCTGTAAAAGTCGTGCGCATCGTAGAAGTACACACACACACCTCGGGCACTTGCGGCTGTGGCCGCCGCCTCCGGGGACGACGGTATACCAGCAAGCGGCTGATTTATCGCCACTATGGAGCAGGGAGGCTGGCACCCCCCGGCGAGAACACACCTCGGGGTGGCGTCCGTCCGGCCGAGGCTGATGTCCTTTCATTGTGTGTCGCCCTGGCAGAGCAGCACCCCGGCGGGGCCGTGGAGAGGACGCCGTCAGGAGACCGTATCCATCATTCATATAATGCCGACCGACGACGGCGGCGACACCGCGGCCACCGCTCGACGCCCCCCCCCCCCCCCCCCCCCCCCACACTACGCCACTACGCGGCCTCCGCGGTCCTCACGGCGCCAAAGTCGCGGCCGCGGCGGCGACCGCACGGCCCGCGGGACATTAAGACTGCGCCAACCGCGCAGGCGAATTTGCATACTAATGGAAAGTCGGACCACTCCTCGGGAAGCACTTGCTAAACTGTTGTCGGCTAGGAGGACCACCACCGCCGCCGCGGCGCGTCGTGTCGCGCAGTTATTAATAGTAAATGTATTCAGAATTCGGCCGGTCGTCGCCGAGGTGCGCGGCCGGGGGATAACTCGCAAAGAGCTCCCGGAGCCGCGACAAGAAAGTTATTGTTATTCGCGCCGCAGTCCCTGCAGTCCTTTATCATTTATTTCTTTATTCCACCACCACCACCAGCCAGCGCAACAAGGGGATCATGGTGATGAGCGCGGACCTCGAGAGCAGAGCGTCTCTTGTGGACAGAGAGGGGAGAGAGAGAGAAAGAGAAACTGCTCCGTCCACTACACGGCGAGATAGGCACAGTGACCCGCGTGTCTCGTGCCCGCGAGAGCGAAACAACGGGAGACACCCACTACTCGCCCGCGATAAAACAACAACTACTGCTACTGCGGTGCAGTCAAAAGCCGCCCGTGGTGTACTCCGCGGGGAGGCGAAGCGGAACGGACGACGGACGGGGTGGTGCAGTCGGCGAGCTCACTTCAGCAGCAGCGAAACGCGTCGTGATGCTGGTGTCTGACGTGGCCGGTGGGACGGCGCAAGGGAGACCGATGGCCGGGTGGGGGGGGGGGTGCGCACGGAGAATTGTATCTCCCTCGCGAATGGTGCTCCGCGTAGATAAAAGCAGGCGGAGGCGGTTGCGTTGCCCGCCCCTCCCCCTCCCCTCACTAGGAAAACAAGGGTGCATAGTCACACCCTTTGTTTACGCGCAATAGAAAGTTTGAGTCTGAAATTTTCTAATGTAGAGTGCCTTTTGACAGTTTTTAGTGCTCTTATTGTTTGGGCATGACACCCTCATTGACACAACTTGGCACTTTTATATTTTTTCAGAGGTTTCTCTTTTCCTTCGGGCCTCCCCGCGCCCCACAGGTACCTGAGCGATCGCTCACCACCTTGCTCACCACCATGCGCAGCAGCCAGTGTGACTCACACGCGTCCATCTCTTCTGTGCTGCAGGCAGGCCGCGCCGGATGGCGCCGTCGTCGGCGGCCGCGGCGGCGCTGAGCGGCTCGTGCACGAGGACGGCGGCGACGACGACGACGACGACGACGACGGCGACGAGGACACCAGTGGTGGGCTGGCGGATGAGCGATGGTGACGGCTGCCCGCTCGGCTGATGATCGGATCCAGGTGAGCTCCCGCCCTGCCCGCCTGCCGCATCCATCACTCCAAACGTGCGTGTCTGCAGGCGCCGCGGCCCCGCATGGTTCCCACAATAACACGCGTCTCCCCTTCCTGTCCTCACGCGTTTGTTCGTATGGTTTTCACACACGTTGTCTCCCGCGTGTCCTCTCACACACAATGGGCGCCCTTGTTTACGCCCCTCGTTCTTTATTTTACCCCCTCTCTTCGCCTCTCCCCCCTCGTTTTGTCCCCGCGCCGCGCGGACTCTTTAAACTTTGGCCGTACGGTCCGTACGGGTGGCACATCAACGCACGCCGCGAAAACCTCCCTCATCCTCATCTCCTCTTCCCATCCCCCCTATTCTCTCCCCTTTCCGTCCCCCCCTTTTTCCCTCCAGATACAATGCGCGCTCTGCTCTCGGCCCCGACGTCGACTGGAATGAGATTTCCAAATTAACTCGCTCCCAGCAGTCGGATGTCCTATTCCGGCCCGGCCAGACCCTTGCGCCTCGCTCTGCTCACCCCTCTCCCGCGGCACAGCAGCCGCGTATGTCGACATGCTCATCGCTGGGCTCTCCCGTTTCCCAACTCTCCCACCAAAAAGGGCTTCAACTTTGGTCTACCCCACCAACCTGTCGTCGGTTTCGGTAATATATTCTCTCAGAATCTGGATCCAAACGCCCTGCTTTTTGCCAAGCAGCTGTTTGCTCTACATTCAGGGTGAAAGAGAGTAGTGTGGTTGGCTCTGTTAGTTACAGGCTGTCAGAGGGTTAAATCAAATCCCACGAGAACTCTGGCAGTCTGCTGTACCCTTTAAAACAAGTTGAGGCCCCTCAAAAAAGAATATGCGTAAGGCATACCTAGGATCTTTACTTTTCAACGATATGGAAGTTAAATGTACTGCACCACCAACTAAATCCACGACATTGATTCACCCCCAATTCGGCCGCTCCCTCCTCTCCCCCTCGTGTTGACCAGCTCCCGCTGCTTTCCTGCCCCGTGTCGCGCGTCACTCCAGTGAATGATGAACCCCTATTCAGCGCCGAGACACGAGCTTCCTGCCCGCGGAAGTTCTCCCGGCTGCGCCGCCCGCCGCCGCGCTGCACAGACCGTGTCCCGCCCGCCGTGTTGCCGCCCCGCACTGCAGTCGCCCGGGATCCCTTTCCATGCGACCCTTTTGCATGCCCACAGCGTCACTCTCGTTCCTGTTTGGAAAAGGATAGCCCGTGTGCGCGCGGTTGGTTGTATTTTTACATCGTTTTTGCGGTCATTTTTGTCGTTATTTTCGGCTGGTTTCGCGGCGGCGGGTAGTACAGCGAACGAGAGGGGGCCTGCCGCCGGTATGCGAAAAGGGTTACGGCCATGGGGATGGTCGACGGCAGCAGGATTCCAATTCCAGAGATGGCATCGCAGCAGTGCAGTCCAAAGGGGGGCCGGGGCAGGCCGGGCCGGGGCGTTCCACGAGGAGAGGAGGCGTTCCGTATTCATAACACCACGGGCCGTACACTCGGTGCGCCCTGGCTTCAAAGAGAGAGAGAGAGACGAGAGGGCGTATGGGTACGACGGAGAGAGAGAGACAGACAGACGGCCCGTTGTGATTGATTCTGATCCGGCTCGGATCTTCCGGCGCGGCGCTGCTGAACGTGGAATGTTGAATTGAGTATGATGGATGGATTGCGAAGGCGGCGAGTCGCACAGACATGTCTGCAGACAGACAGGGGCCTGCCCTGGCGTTTTAAGATTCTTGTACTTTCAGAGAAACGCCGCGTGCTTGTGTCGGCGGTCCGCGCACTCGGACTACAAATAAGCGTTCCGTCGTACGTCTCTCTCGCCTCTCGCTCTCCCTCTGTTTCTCTGTGGCGACCGCTGAGCCCCTGCGGCCGCGACTGGTATGGGCCTCGAGCCGCAACGAAAGGGTGGAAGCAATTTTTGTGAAGGTGCCGCCACACCGAGTCCTTCCCTCAGGGATTCTCCCCGCACCAAGCGGCTGCAGCAGGGGCGGCGCGCACTGTTAAAAAATTCATGGCCATTCATTCATTAGACCGGTGCCCTTTCTCGCTCGCTAACGACTTGGACGAACGAGTTTACGAGTCGGCGAGAGAGAGAGAGGGAGAGAGAGAGAGAGAGAGAGGGAGAGTGGGGGGTAGGGGTGCGTCTTATGGGAAGCGGCGGCGCGGGCGGCGCGTCCCGTCCCGCCGCCTCGTCAGCAGCAGCCGTCCGCGCTCCCCGATCTGCTTGAGGAGTCAATCGAGCAGACTGCTTGCTAACTGCGAATGCGATAGTCGATTTACCCGTACCCGGGAAGTCTCATTAAGTTGTTCGGAGCGGAATCACAACCCGCGCTGATCTAACGCCGCAGAGTGTGCCAACACGCTTCCCAGAGCAAAAAGAAAAATTCAACTTTATGTACTGTGGTTGTAAAAAAGGCGTAAGGAAAAAACCTTGCCCAAACCCACATAACGACAAACACCGACTGGGCGCTGTGCGTGTGCGCTGTGGATAGCAAGGAGGGGAGGTGGCGGGACTTTTCCTTCTGGTAGACAGTCTCTAGGGGATTGTCTAAAAATTGTTTGGCTATAATTTCGCTGTTTTTGTTGTTTTTTTGTTGTTGTTTTTTTTTGGCTAAACGTTAGAGAAGTCTGTTATTCGTCTGTTTGTGTGCACGATAACTCGAGAAGCAATCTGAAATTTTACGGGTTGTTTTTGTTTTATAACATTTCATAACCTTTTGTTTCAACACATTGAGTTCAAAGATAAGCATTCTAGCTCAATTTTTTTAAAAGGTAAATCAAAAACCACAGGTTGTAAAATGTATTTCTTTTAAATATTGTTTTATTGGTTCCTAAGGGGTACCTCTACAAAGAAGAAGTCTTTGGAAAATTAGGTGAAAATGACCAAATGTTCTATTAAATAGTAAAGAAGGCTTTGTATCAAAAAACTGTAAAGGAAGTGATAATTTAACCACACATTTTGCGTGGAACCCACACCCTCCTTTGGGCCATAGGGTCCGACAAAGTCCCCGACAAACACTGTGAGCGTGTCAAATTTTGGGACCGGAAGGCCCTATTTCCGTATACACTACTCTTAACCCGGTTTGAGTATCAGCGCCGCAGTCCTAGCTCGGGTGTAACTGTGAATACGCAGCAGTGTTGTGGGATTGCATACTCAACATGGCCGCAGCGCAGGGGCCATGGCCCCTTACAGAGCCCTGTATCGGGCGAGCCTCTGGCCGGCAAGAGGCTCGTTTGCGAAAAGTAGTGTGAGGTAGGGTAGGTTGATGTCACCAAAGTCTCTCAAGCCGGGAGTATCGATAGTCCACCGGCGCCGCTTCCGTCTCTCTCGCACTCGCCGGTGCCTGATGCGTCTGCCTTTGTCTTTCCTTGACGAGCCTTCCCGATCCTCGCCGGCTGGCGAGCCGAGCCTTCGCCCGAGGTGGCGTGGCGTAGTAACGAGCCTACTAGGCTCGCCCGATTATAGGGTTTGGCCCCTTACGGGTGTAAAGAGTAGGCAAACCCGCCACACTGCTGCATATTCACAGTTATTACACCCGGTACATATAACCGAGATTATATCCAATAGGTTTAAAGACATTTTATTATTCAAATTAGTGAAATTAGTTAAGATCACATTTAGCAGTGTAAGGGTATGGGTAATCGCAGAGATGGTTCAAGTATGATGACCATGCTTTGAATCCGTCGCCCCTAAGTTTCTTCGTCTCTGCGTAAACGGCTTTGACGCACTTGGCTACTTCATCCATGTCGGTGAGAAGTGTCTGGCAGGTGACGTGGCAACCTTTCTTGGGCCCTCTATCACACCAATATCTATTGTTGATTTGGAAGATGCCGTAGTCTATGCTTTTGTCCTTGTTTCGGTCGCGATTCACAGCTGACATGTTGAATCTGAAAATCAAGTACCTCTCAACATCCGTGGAGTAGAGTTATCAACCGCGGGTTTTGAGTGTACAACAATCATCACAGTCTGGAAACTTGAGATAAAGAGACTGTGTACCATAGCATTATGTACGCCAGACCACGTATCGCGTAACAGGCTTCGCGATATCTCACAAAACACACTGTTCAACAACGACGGGCAAGGCACACATATAGCTATGCCTGCGGGGCTAACACCCAAGACGAGTTCAAAGGAAAGTATACGGTAAGAGGGCATTGCGGCCCCACAATTTGACGTTCTCACAGCATCTATGCCGGAAACTTTTCATTCCAAAATTAGGGAAACGAATCTTCTGATATTCGGTGGAAGCGCACGTTATGTTATGTTAAAATCAACTTTTCAGCGAATGTAGATGATATAGGACACCTAGAACCCCAATATGGGCGTGGATCGACGCCAAATGTGTGGTTTATTTTTGCTTCCTTCAGAAGTTTTTAATGTGAAGTTCTTACGACTAACTGAACCATTTGGTTATCTTATTTTCGTCCGTGAAGGGCCTCTACGGCCTATACGGTACAGGTTAAACGAAAACGAACGAAATAAAGCATTCTGGTTAAGCTGAAATTCAGGGGTACGTAATTTATTGCTTAACTGCCTTGAACGTTATTTTAAGGTAACTTTTACTTTAGTCCTTTGGAAATAAGTTACAGTAGGCGCTCGCTATAGTTCCGCCTCGGGTTCAGAATTGGAGTGGGTGAGTGGGGTCGCCAGAGGCGGAACTATAGCGAGCGTCTTCCCCCACTCCTTCTCTACCGCTCTCGCTCACACTGCTGGCCGGCTGGCAGCCCGGGGGGAAGGTGGTGGGGAGGAGGAAGAGAGGGGGGCCGCTTCTCGCTTGGAGTGGGGGAACCAGGCCTGGCGGGGAGGGAGCGCCGGCGGAACTATAGAGAGCGGAACTATAGCGAGCCCTCACTGTAGTTATTCGACCTGTCCAACTTTTCCCCACGGTATGTATGAACGGTTAATGTCGGACATATTTCAAAATTGATATCTTTAACTTTCAATGAGGTATTTTCCGAATTAAGAACAGGAGGAATATCGTCAGCTCCCGGACCATCAGAAAGCCTCGACCAATCAGAGAGGACCTCTCCCGCGTGGCCGGCTCCAGAAAGGCCCTCTCTGATTGGTCGAGGCTTTGTGATGTTCCGGGAGCAGACGGCATTCCTTCTGTTCTTCTAATTCGGAAAATACCTCATTAGACATGTGTTTTGTTATGTTGAGTAACATTCGTTCGTGTTATGATAAGTTACGGAGCCCTGCTGAAATGCGAACAAGAAAACGGAAGTCACCATGCTTCAGCATAGTGATTTCCGTTTTTTTTTTGTCTCCTTCATTCTTCATTTTCAGCTTCAACCGAATGCTGTATTCTTATCCTTGGCACAACTTATTGTGCTTCTTTCAGTTGATGAAAACTTACCCAGACTCTTGGAACGCAATGCAGACTAATGTCGGGATCTGGCCGAGGGGAAATCCGTACTTGTTCTTGAGGTCTTTTGCCAGCTCACATTTCTCGTATACACGCGCGTGGATGAGAGGCGTGCTGAGTGCAAGCAGGCCCAGCAAGGCTATCCCGCCTACCCACGCCGCGCTCCTGCTTGCCGGTAGCATGTTAGAAGTGTGATGTGCCTCCGTCCTTCCGTACATGCACTCTGAAGAACCCGGACCGGACCGTCGTTTTATACTCGTCGACCCCTCCACTAGGTACTCCCGTCTTCGGCTATCTCAAGTGTTAGGCGAGCAGTCAGTCAATTTTCCTGTACACACGAGTACTGTAACGACATGAGCACGTAGGAGTACACGATGCCCTGTTCAAAGTACATGAAAATCACACACTTGCTATTATAATTTATTTTTTCTTTGTATGAGGGTGTTATCTAGTAAGTGGAATTTTTTTTTGCCCCATGATTGTACGTTCAAATAAAGATACCATATTTGTGCCAAAAACATTGTTCTTCAGAGAAGATTGTGGATGCATTGTCCATGGCATCAATGCTTTGTAGATTTTAATCTAGACGGGGTAATATGTACGCTTATCCGAAGAATAAACTTCGGCATTACTGGTAGCATAATATGATTACGATTAGAACAGAAGCAGTTAGAATATTTGTATTCTTACTGCAAGAAAACTATTTAGCCTGTGCAGTGCGCTCGTGGACCTCGTTTCGACGTTGCACGGAAATGCGCGTAAAGAGAGTGCCTGGTGAGTGGTGGGACGCTTTGAATTAAATAGTGTACAGTACTTATTGCATTCTGTCACGCTTTTGCAATCTCAGCAACAGGAAAACTCATGCAGCGGGGACCTTGTGCTCAGCTGCGCACCAGATTAGGTTGCATGACAGCACTGTCCGCACCCGCACACCAGCCATGGATACTTTTTCATCAGTGCATTCTACATCCATGACATTAGCACCCTCTCTACACGTGAATTTCTTTTGAGTGGCAAATACGGCGAGCAGGGTTAATGTTCGTTTTCTTATCTTGCATCAAGCGATAGGCGAGGCGAGGCGCTCGGAAGAGCCAAGAGACACCTCGTTCCCGAATCTAAGAGAGAAAACACCACCTGAGTCGACTTAAACCCTATTTTAACTGTTAAAACCATTGTTTCAACTTCGAACGCCTCCCAACAAAATTGCAGTGCGGGGTTTTTCGTTTAAGTTCTGAGTCGATTGGTGAAAAAAAAAAACAACCTCGCGCTTACGTGAAAGCTGATGATATGGCCTCATCATTTTATGAATTTACGTTTCAGTTATTAACATAGTAAAAGTATTTCTAGGAATTTGAATATATGGGCATGACCACAATGTGGCCAGTCTAGCCGGAGGAACCGTAATTGATGACCACAATGTGGTCATTGTGGACCACGAGCAACGCTACCCATTTTACCCTGTTCCTCCTTTTAATTAATATTTTAATTAGGGCATGACCACAATGTGGCTGATGGAACTAGTGCTGATGACCATCATGGTCCTTATATTTAATTCGTGGTAATTAGGAGGGGACTGAAGCAGTTGCAACGCTAACCTTCAAGCTGTTGTACAAGCAGTGATACTAGAAGTATCATCTGCTAAAAAGAAAAAGTAAAAATTACTCTTAAAAAAATCTCCAATATTGTTTATGAGTATTACTCGTGAATCTGAAATCATGCCGACGTTTTGTTCCGCTGCACTGCACACAGCATGCCCGATACGCTCCGTCTGGTGGGGGCAGGGGTTCGCTTGTGTGCGACTGGCTTGTGTTGACCTTTGTCCGACAGCCACGGGGGAGAGAGACCGGGGTGGAGGGTTGTGGGGGTCGAAGATGTGGCTGGAGTCGCTCTCTCACAGACCCACACACACCGGCGAGCGCTGAGCTAATGCCCTACAGCACGACCCACTCCGGCATGCACGAGGAGCCTTGCGCCACGCTGCGCC